TACAACTGCTTCGGGCATTGAAATAACATTTAATGACTATTATCAGTTTTGCGCGTTCTTTCTTCCATGGCACACAGTATTACAGAAGTGACTAAGACAATGTTCGGAAAATGTTTTAATTGTTTTCCCCTGCAAAAATTACAATTAATGTTAATGTATTGTACATCATTGGGTTCAGAAAAAAAATCTCTATACAATAACGAGTAGAAAAACATACCGAGCAGTTTGAAAATCAAAAGTTGATAATCGCTTGAAATTAAAGATAGCGCTGGAAAAAGTTTATTTGTAGCATGAATCATAGTATTCATCAAACCATTTCATTTGATACCTCGTTCATGAAAATCAGAAGGTAAATGACAAAGTTACAGCTTGCGGCGTTCTTGTGTGATAACCTGTATACAGGGTGGTTCAGTTTTTAATCGGGAACCTTTACTAGGACGTAGTACTTGCCAAAATAACACAAGTTTTTTATATAAACATAGGGTCGCAACTCTTTTGTTTTCGAGCTATGAGCTGTCAAAGTTGAGCTAAAAATTTACATTTTATCTTTTATTTCGGGTATGAGTAAATCATAGAATTTGAAATTTTGTGTGTATGTACTACTGCTTAATATCTTATTTTCAACCATACCTTCAACTTTCCTAACGCCCTCTAAGGGGATGAAATTCACAACCTCTTTGTAAAGCTTATTCATTATTGATACTTTTTTGTCTCTGTAGTTTTTTCCTAAAAGATAATAGTTTTAGCGTAAACAAATAAAATATGCTAGATTATACTGTAAAGCACGGCTATTATTAAAAAAAAATTTCTTTATAGCAAGCTATGGAAGTAGTGCACGTATTAGGAGCTAGTACTAATTAAATAACACCAATTAATTGTGATTTTCATAAGAAAAACCATAAATAAGATGAATGTCTGAACAAATTAAATTAAATTAAATTTTAAACAATATTAAAAAATTGATACTCTTGCTTAATAACAGTCAAAAATTATTAATAATCATAAACAATTATGAGGATTCACTGTAAATGAAACCTACAAGTTCTCAGAGCCAACTTTTAGAATAATTTTAACTAAACATGGCGGCACATATCGGTACATGGCACGATATTTTATTTTTTTACACTGAAGCTATTAACTTTAACGAAAATACTAAAGAGACAAAAAAGTACCACTAAAGAATGAGCTTTACAAAACATATTTTTTTATGTTAATATTTCATAGTGTTAAAAAGTTCTTATAAAAAAATCAAGGGGGTGGGGAATTTCATACCCTTAGAGGGTACTAGGGAAGTTTAAGGTATGCTTGAAAATAAGGTCTAAACCAGTAGTAAATACCTACAAAGTTTCAAATTTTACGGTTTACTTACAGCCGAAATACAAAACAAAATGTAAATTTTTGGGTTAACTTTGATCGCTCATAGCTCCAAAACAAAAGACTTGCGACCCTGTGTTTATACAAAGAACATGTTTTATTTTAGCAAGTACTGCATCCTAGTAAAATTTCCCGATTATAAACTGAACCACCCTGTATACAGGTGTCTTTTCTTTGCTAAAATTACTTTCAAAATGGATGTATTGTATATCAATGGATTCAGAAAAACAATCTCCATCCAATGACGCGAAGAAAAATATATGGAGCAATTTGAAAAACAAAAGTTAATAATCGTTTAAAATTGAAGATGGTCTTGGAAAAAATTTATTTGTAGCATGCATCATAGTATTCATCAAACCATTTCATTTGTTACCTCACTCATGAAAATCGGACTGTAAATGACAGAGTTACAGCTTGGGGCGTTTTTTGTGTGACACCCTGTATTTCGGTTGTCGAATTACAACCTTCATCAGAGCGAATTACATTTGTTGTTTATGAAGTGGATAAACCAAAAACATTATTGAACACATTACATAGATATTATTACGTTTGATTAAATTAAAACTTGAAATTTCAAGTAAAATTTTAACGTGTATCTCGTTCGTCTCAATGATTTTAACTTTTAAGTCCAAGTTTTAATTTAATCAAACGTAATAATATCTATGTAATGTGTTCAATAATGTTTTTGGTTTATCCACTTTATAAACAACAAATGTAATTCGCTCTGATGAAGGTTGTAATTCGACAACCGAAATATATTAGCAAATTGTAAAAAGTTGTTCCTGTGCTTATTTGACCGTTCACCCCGAATAGATCGTTTTAAATTTGCCTCCCACGGTTATCGGTCGAAGATACTTCTTGCCGAACATTTTCGAGATATTCAAAATTTTAGTTTCATAAGTTGACCTATTGTTAACATCATTAATTGTAACGATTTAGATGCAGTAATTATATGATTACCATGGTTACGATGGTTAAGATAAAGTTTAATAAATAACAAGTTAATATTAAGCTAATTAATACAATTCATTAATAATTTAACAAAACAAGTAACAAAGATTGTCGAAAAAAATCTTTCAACCAGCATAAAATCAACGAATATTTAACAAATTGTAAAAGAATCATGTCATAATAAATGTTAAATATGCGCACTACTTGTGTAATGTCTCTCCGTGGAAGGGCTGTGGGTTACGCTTCCAGTTTCTTTTAATCTGAGAAATAGTCTGCTAAAGGTGTGACTATTAGGCAATCGTCTGTTCGGGAACCTTTGCGCGTAATGACGAGCTGCTAACGACGCATTTCCATCGGCTAGTCCGTAACAATACACCATATCCGCCATTTCTTCCTTGGAGTAATTAATAGGAGCCATACTTAATAGTTTTATTAAATTAAATAGTAAAATAATAATTTCGCAAACAATTATTATTTTTTTTAATTAGACCACTTATCGTAATCATAGTAACCACTTAATTATTATAAAAACAAATTAAAATTCATGACGTTAACAATATCAACTTATGAAACTAAATCTTTGAATATCTCGAAAATGGTCCATTTTCGGACCTATGTTTATTAGTTATTAGGCTTTTTGACAGCCTATAAAAAATGTGAGCACAAGTTTGGTTGCTTGGTGAAAGAAAATGACAATAAAATTAAAATACAACGTCAAAAATAAATTAAGCTTATAATTGTGGTGATGGATAAGCAAGAGAAAGAAAAGATCATCAAATTTTAGTACAGCAGAAAAGAACTTGCTTGTGGATTTGGCAAACGAATATAAAAATGTTATAAAAAATAAATAATAATCTAGTAATTAAAAAAAAAATAATATAATCTATAATCTAATACAGTATAATCTCGTCTCAATTTTAACCAAGATTGACAAAACTGTGTCCTTTTTTAACCGAAATCTAACAAAAAAAGGTGGTGGTCCAACTCCTCAAAGTGTTTTTGACTTTTGTCTTTCTTTTATAATACATGGTCGTCGTTTATAATTTAAGAGTTGGACAATATCCTCAACTTCATCGCTGTCTAATAAATATTTATGTAGGAATTCCATTATAAAAGAGGTTTTCGAAAACAAAGCACAATATCGAAAGCACACGGGAATGATAACCTCCAAAACACGATCAGCTGTTTATATCAACTTCATAAACTAAAGTCAATTATTCAAATTTCACCAATTACGTTTCATTTCCGTTTCTAATGTTAACACTCAGGGGTACCATCTATGATCTATCTTGTAGGTTGCTGCCTGTCGGGTAGAAAGTTGCTGGATAAACGGTTCACTGAGGTTATCTGTTAGGCAAGTTTATCCATGAGTTGCGTATCTAACAGATTTAACTTGATATTGATAAACCGGCCCTAACTAGAACAACCCAGAACAACTAACAAAATCAGATTTTTCCAAAAATGGGGGGCTAGTCGAAAAACCCGTTTTTTTGGTTTTCTCGCCGAGTTTTTATTTTTTCTATTTGCCGCTTTGGAACAATGTAGAACAACTCTAGAACAATCTAGAACAACAATGAAAAATTTAAAAATCAAAAATGGGGGTCTAACTTCCCGCACTCAATTCTTTCCCATTTAGTCGTCTCTCTATCTCCGCTAGTTTTCGAGATCTCCATACTAAACTTGGAAGAAAAGTCACCTGTATAAGAATCGACTTTTGTCACTAGAAAACAAATTTGCTTTTATGTATTCGAAACGTAGATCGACGCATGGAAATAATTTTAAATGAAAAACAGATGCAGTCATCACATTCCACATTTCTTTTCATTATGTACTCATTATTGCTAGTAAAATGTTTTTAAGTTCGAAATAAATGATTTTTTCTAATAAAATGATTTCATTATTGAACTAAAAATCGCTGCCATAGATGCTATAGGCACAGAATAATAACTTATTCTGAATATTCTGTGCTATGGGTCACTACCAATGTTGTCTATAAATAAAGATGTTATTCCTAAATCTGCAGATATCGAAAGAGATCAAGAATAATTAAATAGTTTTTTATCTTGTATCAAGGTCGAAAATATGTATTTCGTCAATAAGTATAATGTTAACTTTCTAAAAGTTTTTTATAGTAATCCATTGTCGAAAATATCATTAGTTCCAACAGTTTATCTTCTATTGCGAAAAAATTGAAAGTCCTTAGATGAAATTAAACCGAATCAAATGCCCAAACGAAATCACTTTAAAACGCAAGAATACGATTTCAGCTATTAGCAGAAAATTGATAATAACGTTGTTAATAAATTGATAAACAAATATTAAAAAAATTAATTATCACTAACATTAACAGCATTCTTAAATGTATCCACTAATTCGTTTGATTTCGTGGTATTAAAACTGACATCACCGACCTCATTCAAAATATAAATAAATATTTAAGCAAAGTTTAAAATTGAAATTCTTTAAAATCTATTTTAAAAGATTGTAGAACCTTTAAATCAAAAAGTGTAAAATAAATTTTTGATTCTCTGCAATATATTCCCTCTTAATATTCGAATATAAATTTGTTTTTCTTTACATATAATCTTAACATAAATAAAATAGTGAAAACAACCAACATCTTAATTTTAAAAAGATTATTAATATAATTATTTATAATTTGAAGTTTGTTTTACCTGTATGAATGCGTGGATAAGCATAATTATATTCAATATTGGCGTGTGTATAAACCGGGGGCGCAGATGGTGGTGGTTCATAAGGAGGTGGCATCGATTTCATATTGCACCATTAGTTTAAGAACACACAAATGATGTAACTTTCTAATTATAGCCTTCTGACGTAGTTAGTAAAAAGAATCTCTATTCGCAATAAAAGGTAATGATAACGCCAAAAAAAATAATTCGTCAAGTTATTGTTTAAGTTAAAAATAAATTTTCACCGCGTTTCAATAGCTCGTTATCATTTAAATTATACGTTTGAAATACAAAACGCACACAAAACTGACAGATAAACTCAACACACAACTATTTTAGTGACTTTTAATGCGCAGTGGTACCAACGTAAACGGACGAATCAGAAAATGGTGGGTCCGCTCATTCCATTTTCACTCCTTGACGTGTGAAGGTGGGATGTGCGGAGATTCCAGTTTCATTTTCAATTCTATTATGTCCTATGATTCGAGAATCCGTACGATACGATAGTTAAAAAAAAATAATTAGAAAATAAAAAATAAAATGGACAATAATTATGTGCAAATAAAGGACATGCGTCCTGGTTTAAAGAATATCAACGTAGTGTTTATAGTGTTGGAGGTCGGACATCCCACCCTTACGAAAGAGAACCGCGAAGTTCGAACTTTCAAAGTGGCCGATCAAAGTGCCTGTATAAACGCTAGTGTTTGGGACGAAGCTGGTCAGCTCTTGGTTCCTGGTGATATAGTTCGTTTAACAAAAGGTTATGTCTCAATGTGGAGAAGCTGTTTAACGCTTTATACATCGAAAGGTGGTGATTTACAAAAAATCGGCGAGTTTTGTATGGTTTTCAACGAACAGTTGAATATGAGCGAACCTAATCAAGGTATATCACCGATGAGTTCAATGGGAGGCCCCCCAAACAGCGCCCCATTAAATAATGGGACGAATAATGGAGCTGGAAGAATTGGAGCCCCGCCACAAACTTCTACTCCCCCTATCACCACATCCACTATTGTTCATAACAATTCAGCAGGAAGTGTTAAAAGTACACCAGCAACTAATAGGATGACCGGCAATGGACCTCAAGATCAAAAAAGACAACGAGGCTCAAGAGGTGGACCACATAGAAGTAGACACAGAGCAAATTAATTAGATTTGTTTTAATATTTTCTTTGTAGAATTAATTCTATAAGGAAATTGTTTTTAAAACTTTTTTGTTTGTTATTGTATATAACAGGAATAGACCAGTATATTGAAAAAAATTAATTAATATTTGTATTTTTATAAAATAAATTATCAAAATTTTTGAATTTTCATTTCATTGATTACTTTTTCATCCTAAATAACCAAAAATTATATTAATTACAACAGTGTAGAAATTGTTGAAAAATCCAAAATTTGATTTGAAACTTCACTTTGATAACTAATGTCAAGTAAATATAACCTAAATGTTTTTATACATCAAAGTTGACTAATAATTTAAATAAATATTTTTTTAATTGTTTCGTTTTACTATTTTATTCTCAGTTAGTGCATAACCATAATTTATAAGCAATTAATTTTTTAATTTTAAAAAAATTAGTTACATTACTCCCACTAAAATAACAACCAACCCAAAAATAAAAAATCACCAAAGTGAATATTTAAAAATTTAAATTATAATTTGCTTTGATTTTTCATCTATTTGGGAGAAATAACTATTATTTATTATAGTAGCATGAAAAATTCAATTTTGCAAAGATTTTTACGTTTTTTACAGACCTCAAATTAATAATATAACCTCCAATTTTTTAGGTGAATCTGAAAATTGATGTTTATATTATTGAGTTATGTTACAGAATACGTAAGAATAAGTATTTATTATTTTCAAATACAATTAATCTAATTTTTGAATTTTATTTATTTAGATGATTCTCCATCCAATAACATTTTTATATGTTCACACATAAAAATTCCTAAAATCGATGAAGAAAACATAGATTTGATAAAAGAAATCATATTGCTTTTAACATAGATAACTCTTCTACTTATGCACTCCAAAAAGAAAGGAAGATTTCCATTTCAAATATTAAAAGTAAAAGTTAAAAACTAAAAGATAATGCGAATACACTTTATATAAAATGAAATGAGTTTATGCCATAAACATTGATGAAATAATTGATTTTGTAGATAATGACCAAATACTTCTAAGTTTTAACCAGGTATAGTGCTTCAACATTCATGGTGATGGAAATATACGGAGAATAAAAGCAACCGTTAACATATTACTTGTTAAAAACTGAATGTCTTGGACTGCTCTAATAAAGGATAATTGTTGTAGTTAACAATACAGAATCAAACAATTTATAAGCTGCTTGTATCTTAGATATTGATATATAATCACTAGGGCCCGGAACTTTTGTAACGGTACGATACGATTTACCCCCTCCACTTGTTCTCCTAGAAAATGATCGGTTGTTATTGACGACCGACGATCGGTTTTTTATTGCGCATCAATGTCAACTGTCAGTACGATTTCACTGTTGTCCAAATGTGCAGTATTCGACGCTTTTCATCCGCATAATTTCGTCAAATTTGCTATTTATCTTTCTTTAGTTATCTTTAATTGGAAGTTGGAGTTCTGTTTGAGTTCGTATTATTGTTTTTTTTAAGAATTGTTTTTAGTTTCCCTTTGTGGTAAAATTGTTGTTCGGATTTGAGAATTGTTCAACAAATTGCCGAAAACAATATACCTTTAACTCTTAAGGAAAAATATGGTTCAATAGCTCAGTATTTTATTTATGCTCTATTTACAAGTTGTGATGTTGAAAGATTATTGTCTAGGTACAAACTCATTTTAACGTCAACTAGAACGTCATTTACAGAAGAAAATTTAGGGATGGTTGTTTCAATATGCGTTAACAGCAATTTTTTTATATCCGTATCCGATTTGTGATTGATATTACAAATCGGATCATGTTTTTTTGAATTAAAGTTATAAAATATATTTTTTTTAAATATTTTCAAATCGTACTGACAGTTGACACTGACGTGTAATAAACCGATTGTCGGTCGTCAACAACAACCGATGAGGTGAGTTGACTTGACGCCACCGCCTTGTTTTCTAGGAGAACAAGTGGTGGGGGTAAATCGTATCGTTCCGTTACAAAAGTTCCGTGCCCTAATAATCACCCATATTTTCACATAGATAATGAAAAGAATTACTTCATGTACAGGGTGGGCAAATTTGGGTGTTATTGTAGGCTATCTCAGAAAATATAAGAGTTTTAAAAAAAGGAGGTGCCATGTCCTGGTCTCTATTTTCGAGACTAACCCAAACCTCTATCTTCTTTTGTTTTTAAGTTATAGCCAAAAAGTCAAATTTTCGTGATTTCAAAAAATGCTCATATTTCATTTATTTTTGAAATTAGAGAAATTGGGTTGATACATTCTTAAGACACTTTTTTAAGTAGAATATACTGCCGTTGAAAATTTTTAAAAATATTTGATGATTTTTGAGATACAACACAAAGTTGTATTTTTTTAAATACAAATTATTGTTGATTATGGTGTTACTGAAAAGAGCATATTTTTAGCTTTCCAATGATGTATTGCACGCATTGTGTATTTGGGGAAAATAAGCGTTATTTTTTAATTCTAAAATATTAAAGATTAATATTCAAAATTTTAATTATAGTAGGAGAGGAAATCGTTAAATGCCACTAAGTTGCTATAGTAACGTGAGTTTCCTGATCATTTCATTCATGAATTTTTCGAGACGAGTTTCCCGCTTAAAAATTCCTCATTATCTTTAAATACATAAAGTGATAAAATTAAAATCCCATATAAACATCGTTTCAATGGAAAGTCCGCTGCCCAGTTTATGATCCCTAATCTTCCTCTATCTCACCCAATTTCAAAACAAAGGGTTGCTAATATGAAATAACTTCTAAATCTCATGGTTGGGGAAAACTGGGAAGATACTACCAAAGATTTCATTCATTGATACCCAACTATTCTAACCTTACAACCAGTAAGTTTAGTAGAAGAAGATGACACAGTCTGTGACTGTTTAGTTCCTGAAGTTGTTGTTCATATTTAATTACTCATTAATTAATACGTTTCTTGTATTTTTAATAAACAAACTTTATCTACAAATCATTTTTTATTGGTGAACAAAGTCAGGGATAAGACACTGAGATTTAAATCAACTATTCAAAGTTTTTATTCGTTGGTACAAAACCAACTTTATCCTGCATAATGGTACAAGACCAACTTTCTGTCATATTCGTGCAAAACCATATAGCAATTAGGTATTAATGTCCGAACCCGCCTACTATAATCAAAATTTTGAACTTTAGCGCTTATTATTTTGGAATTGAAAATTAACGCTTATTTTCCGCAAATACACCATACATACGATACATCATTGGAAAGCTAAAAGTATGCTCTTTTCATTAACATCATAATCAAGTATAGATTGTTTTTAAAAAAATACAACTTTGTGTTGTATCTCAAAAATCATCAAATATTTTTAAAATTTTTCAACGGCAGTATATTCTACTTAAAAAAGTCTTAAGAACGTATCAACCCCATTTCTCCAATTTCAAAAATAAACGAAATATGAGCATTTTTTGAATTCACGAAAATTTGACATTTTGGCTATAACTTAAAAACAAAAGAAGATAGAGGTTTGGTGTTTGTGGGATTGGGTTAGTCTCGAAAAAAGAGACCGGGACATGGCACCTGCTTTTTTCGTATCTTTTATAGTTTCTGAGATAGCCTATAATAACACCCAAATTTACCCAGCCTGTACTTCATTATTTATAAAGCCAAGAAAATTTATGAGATTTTATTATAAAGTTTTATAATCAGATTCTACGCCCAAATTAACTCAACTATTCAGTGATGTTGTATATAGTGGTTTGCATCTTTAATGTCAATACATGTTTATTTATAATAAATACAGGGTCATCCACGACGACCGTTCGTTAGAACTATACGGGGTTCTGGCCAAAATAAAAATTTGAAAATTTAGATCTAAGTATTATCAATTGCGTTCTCTTCGACTAAAATATTTTCAGATTTCTAGCATTTCCGGTTATACCGGAAGTCGTCACCTACTTTATTTTTTTTAATGGAAAGCCCTGTATATTTTTACATATTTGGATTTGTCTGTTTTCTAGGTTTATGAATAACTTTACGTTTTGCAATTTTATTCGGCCGTTCTCGAGATATTCGAATTTTTCTAGAAAAATCTGCTCCAGCAGACATTTATTCAAAAAGATGAGAGATCACTCGATTTTTGGGATATCAATTTAGGATTCAGAACATGCTTAAGCAACATGATGGAGTATGTTTTGGTGCCGAGTACGGCTGTCTAGAACTTAAATTCTGAGAAATACAATTTTATAATTGTAAGCTGCTAAAATGAGCGCCCAACGCATTAATCCATTAGCGGAAAGCTGTGCAATAGCTTTATTTTCGCCGAAGATTATTAAAAATGGTTTGTGATCGGTGACTAGTGTAAACTTATACCCATACAGGTACTGATTAAATAATGTCGTTACGCCGTAAATAATTGCTAACCCTTCCCTTTCAATCTGTGAATAATTTTTTTCTGCATCAGTTGTTGCTGAAAACAGCATCAATGCCTACTGATGAAGCATCTACCGTTAATTTAAGCTCTAGGTCTGGATTAAAATGAACCAATACTTCTGTTGACTTCAAAATTTCTTTAACATGACTAAATGCCTTATTACAATTTTCGTCCCAATGAAATTTTACATTTTTCTTTAGTAAATTATACAATGGGTTTAATACAGTTGACATATTTTTTATAAATCTACCGTAATAATTAACTCCACCTAAAATCATTTTAACTCGGATACATTTTGTGATGCAGGAATTTTATCCAGAACTTTTATTTTATCAATCAATGGATGTAAACCATTCGCATCAATCCGATAACCTAAATATTCAACTTCTTTTTGAATGAATTTACATTTATTGAAATTAGCTTTCAAACCGGCATCATCCAAAATATCGCTGTCTTCCTTTACTTCGACTGGAACTTGCTTGGGCATCCCTACTTCCAAAATCTGTACGTCTCTCCCTCAGCTGGTGAATTTCTTCTTGTTTAATGATGACGTCTCGAACCTCGTTGGCCGCCATTTTTGATACCGCGAGTAAAACCATGCCGTTGAAAGGTTTTGTAATTTCTTCTTCCATTAACCGATCCATAATTGGCCCTTTTCGAATACAAAAACAAACTTGTCCCATAGACAAACCTGTAGTTCGGCTCCAAATTCGCAGCCCACCGCGTAAACGTGTAGCCCATTGTTTCGCCGTTTCAGGAACTTCCTTTTTTGCCGAATAAAATTGATATCGCGCAGCAAACGCACTTTTTTGGGGTTGAAAATACTAAGAACCGCTACTAGCTTGGGATACTTATCTTCGGGTTTTTCGGGACTTACCAGATCGAATAATAGTTTGTAGGCGTCCTCATCCAAAATATTCAATAATATAGCTCTTTTCTTCTTTGCTTTATCTTCACCAATATTATTTGCTCTGAAATAACTTCCGCCATCACTTTTCATTAATAATATTTTCGATTTTTCTTTTTAATTTATTAATTAATTTTCCTTGTCGCCACTTGTGATATATTTTAATTGAGTTTCTTTTGAGTGTATCCAAATTAAAAGCTTCAATTTGTTATATTTAAACCAGCATCTTTATTCGTAGGAGGTCAACTCAGAACTGAATTAAAACAGGTTTACATAAAAATATACACTACGCTTTATATAATACGCTTTAATACAACAATACACTACAGTGTCCATTCTTGAAGATTCTCAGCTGCTATTCCAAAATATTGGAGATAATTTTGTACCTAATTAGTAAATTTACGCATGTTTTTCTTGACGACATATTCAAAATACACATAATAGAAATTGAGGGGGTCGTTTTCATACTCAAAAACACGTTGCCTTTTACTCATTTTATAATCAAGTATACAATTAAGCTATATTACACGATACAATTTGTGAACAACTGTTTAACGCTGAATATGGAACTCGACTGAATAATTTTAGCAATCTTACTCGCCACGAAACCTTCCCTAGTATAGTGGGGGTTTTCATGATGCTCACTTTTTTCTTAACATTCCGGGAAAAAACGTTTTCATTTGTCCACGAGAAATGTATTTATTTCAATATTGTTCAAGTAGGTAAAAAAGATAGGACAAACCTGTATGCGAAGATCCTTTGTTCTAAAACCGATAGTTTTTCAAGAATAATAAAATTCACTGGTACCTCAAATATCCTTTTTCAGGTAAACTTAATTCACTGACAATGAGTAAAACGGCAATATACGTTAGGAATACCGAAAAATATAGAAACAGGAAAAACCTGGGCATCAGTAGTAATGATGTAATAATGAAGCCATTATTCCACAGTACTGATACGGCCTACTAGTCAAAAAATAAAATATAACAGAAATGACAGCTTTCTTATATTAAGGTTATGTCTGAAATGTCTATCAAGTTTATTTTTTTTTCCTTTTTTTAATTTTTTTTTCCAAATTAAATAGTTGTAGATAAAGTATACTATTCAACTTGCGTATAATGGATGTTACACACTCAGATTACAACACTCGCTCGCTTCGCTCGCTCGTGTTGCAACTTCTTCTTCGTGGGTAACAGCCGCCATTATACGCTTGTTGAATAATATACTATTAAATGTAAATGTATGTAATAACACACTATGTAAGTTTGTAAGTGAACCGATCAACTATTCGGCACACATTTGAAGACAAGTTCTAAATTCTTTGAAAGAATTACGAATTTCCGCCAGTGATAGAGATTCTATCGCATTAATTATTCTTAGTTTTAATAGTTCTGCATCGCCCTGTAATAGTTCACTGTAAACAGTTTGCTTCAATCGTTCCCAAAAATAAAAATCCATAATTGTAAGATCAGGACTATGTGCCGGTCGTAAAATAGGACCATTTGGTCACAATGTATGATGGTGAGCTAGGTAGCCGTCTCGCTGAAACTAAATTGACCCTATAAAATTTAAGGGTAATTCATCAAGTTGTTCATTAAAATAATTTTGTAACATATCCAAATATTTCTGTTGATTTACATTTCCGTCGAAGAGATATGGCCCAATTACCCCGTGATATGTTATAGCACACATTTACTTTTTTGAAATGTTGACTTCGTCTAGAGAGTGTAGAATTTCGATTTACATCACTCTTCTATGGTTACATATCATAATTTGAACTTTGAAAAATTTTTAGTTTAAAAAAAAGGTCAAATTTTTACATAAAAATGGGAATAATTAGTTAACTTCTATAGTTAGAGTATAAAATTCGTGCGATTTAGTGGTTTGAAATAATCCGACGCATTATTTATGATGAGGTAAGTTTGAAAATTCAGTAATAAAATTTTTTTTCCTCTTTGTAACTTGATCCGGGGACATACTGTAAATCATAATTTTTGGTAATTTCTCCACCGATTCTCATCCTGCGTACCTTGTTGTCTTCTAAAAAGAGCAAACTTTGCGTAAAAGGTAAAAAAGAATTTTTCTGCGACCCTCCACGGATATTGACTGAATTTTTGGTTCACATTTTGTCGAAAAAAATCCCTTTTTCACATATTATGGGGCATTGTTTTAAAACTACCGAACCGATTGAAATAAGTATTAATAACATTTATTGGCTATACAATATTCTTTAATTTGATGAATAACACGATCAGATCGGTCATATCTAACTCGAGATATGCTACAAATAGTCAACTTACCCTAAAAAAAAAATACAGCTCCAAAACGTATTCATAGAAAAAATTTTAAATCTGACTTTTGGGTTTAGGTAAACTACATAAGACAAATATAGTGGCGTCAAATATACATTTTATGAATTTTTTTTGTAGCCTAGTGTAATCAGGCATCTATTTTCTATAAAATGATTCAAACATATTGATGAACATATTTCAGCTGCAGAAGTTAGTCTTATTTTGAACAATTTAGTCAATCAATATAAAACACGATTAAAAAAATAATTCCTTTAATTATAAAAAGAAAATTTCAAACTTAGAAGAATCAAATCCGGGCATAAGAATCCAAAGAAGTGCACAGTTGTTACCAAACACGTTTCCAATACATCGAAGAATGACCTGAAACAAATATCATATGAAAATTTTGTTATTCTTGTTGAATTAATGTTGTGCTGCCCTGGAACTAATGTAGCAGTTGAAAAAGTTTCTTTAATATTTTCGTAATAATTTTTGGAAAAGTGAGAAATCAAGATTTTTATTTCTTGCTCCGAAATTTCCAATGTATTCTTAGAAAATGATATATTAAAACGTGTCATTTATTTACGTCGCACTTTTTTCTTCACATTGTAAAAAAAATTGGTCACCTTACTATTATTATCTTAATTTAACCTTTAATATTATAATCTGTCATATTAATCTAACTTTAATTTTTCCCGCTTAAATAAGTACCAACTTTACAACAAGAATACTTTATAAATCCCAATACTCAAAATTGTCATTGACGTAATATTTATGTTAATTATAGTCAGTATTTAAGAGAATATTAAAAATTTTCTTATTCGTTCCAAAATGATAAATTATTTATCAAGTTATTAAAAAAAATTCAAAATCTTAATTGGCATGAAGTTGTACCGGTGAAACCCGCGGCGCATGCGCAGTTAAAACCCCCGTGACGTCCATTTCGTTCGAGAAAGAGTTTTTATCAGTAGTTTAGCGAATATTTTCGCGTGATAATCGCAAATTTTTACGTTACCCCGTACTTGCATGATCTAATAGTGATGGTGACGTTGTGGGTGTAACACGTCCGTTGGGGAATCTTTGAAAAAAATAAAGTGGTGACCGTTAGGGTTGTGACAATTTCATCGCGCCATAAGGTTAACGGAAGGAATTTGTTTAATTTCGTATGATAATAAATCAGGTAAGAGAAGGTTAATCGGTTCTATTAAATACGATACGTTTCGTGGAACTAATACGAAACGATGTTGATTAAGTGTGGATTAAATCAAAAGATACTGTTGGAATGTTTTTGAAATGAGTAATTTTACCATGGATAATGTTGGTTTGTTATAATAATACTTGTCGCGTCATTGTTAAACGTTTCGTTCTGGCAGTTTACGCAATTTCTTTTTGTTACAGTTGTTCAAAAACATCTGTCATTTACCCTGTGTCTAATTTTAAAACTGTAAATTTGTGGTGAGTAATCAAAAAATTACCTATGTTGATAATTGCTATTTTTTTACAACTAATTATGATTTTCTTAGGAGAGAAATGGCCGTAAAACACAAAGTCGTGGAGTGTAGGAATGATTATAGGCAGAATCATTTGTACGTTATTTTAAGAGCCCTTCAAAACATTAGTTCCGACAATGGTTTAACTCAGACAGACATTGCTAAGCAATGCGAGCAAATTGTCTTAAATTTGGGCGTTGTGGCTATGCCCACTGCAGCAGAGGATCACAAAAAATTTATGCAAGACATAAGAAACGTTCAGGAATATCTTGAAAAAGCATGTTCAAACGAAGAAGTTATATCTGTTACATTACAAGCTTTATACAATGGAATTTCCGATCCAGAAAAACAACCATCACCTGCAATGTCTGTTGTTCTACAATTAATTGACGTTAAATCAATTCCATCAGCTGTAAAAAGAATTTTACATAATGGGTATTCAGATCAAAGCTTAGAAAGGGCGTTGTTAACTCTATGCGATTGGTTATCAAAATGGATATACACACCTAATCTGGGTCCTTTGGTGTTGTGTTTTATGCAAGGTTTAGAAACAGAACAACATTATGATATTTTAATAGAAGTCACAAGATCTTATGTTGAGAAATTTTTTAAATTATGCGTTTTGGCTACATCCCGAAGAAGTGTTGGACCTGTTGTTATTTATATTTTGGAAAAAATGCAGCACAGTCCTGAAGCTTTTCATAAAATTATCCCGCACACAGAAAAAGTTTTGTATTCTTTAGCAAAAGAACACTCGGATACTAGTCAATTATACTTAAAAAAATTCGTCGATCTGTTTATGGCTTTAATGGATCACTTTCCTGATTATCCCGATTTATACGACTCATTAAAACGAACTTTGGAACTATACGAACCCACGAAAAACTACAAAGAAAAATTAAACTGCAAATCTTGGCTCAGTACCAACAATGCAATGTTAACTCTCGTCCCGTTGAGCGGAAAAGTCGGTCTAAATAATTTGGGCAACACATGTTACATGAACAGCATTTTACAAGCGCTTTTCATGACGAAATTATTCAGAAACAGCGTTTTATTAAGCTCCAGAGACGCCACGCCCTTATTCTCAAAGTTGCAGTCTCTTTTTGCACTATTACAATTTTCAGAACGATGTTCGTTATCTCCAAATGATCTATTGAATTTAGCTCGGCCCCCGGGATTTCAACAAGGACATCAACATGATAGTTCGGAATTTTTGGGTTACCTTTTGGACGCTTTACATGAACAGGAGAAATCAACATACAGTAATACCGCCCAAGGTGATAATATACAACCAGGTATGTGGTCATTATTGTGTGTTTGATAAGGAATAGTTATTATGAAGTTTAGGTGATTCATGGTTTTATCAGTTCCTAGAAAATAAAGGTAAAACAGCCTATTGTTTCTATCTTGTTTTGTTGATATGATGTAATTTTCTTGGAATATTAGTGGTATAAATTTCTTTTCTTTTTGGGAATCATTCTGGTTAATAAACAAAATAACATTTTTGATAAGGTTAAATTGTGTGAAATGAAAACTAAATTGTTTATTCCTCCCCTACATATTCAGATAACTTTTAATAACTAGGTCATACAAATTGTATCTTGTAATTACTAGTTTATTTTTAGAAGTTGCGGAAATTAAATTTGTGTTAATGTTTTGGCCTGATCATTTACCATAATTGAAAATTTATGTAATAGAGGTGATTATATTGCTAAATTGTTATTAACTTCAAAAAATAGTTGTATAATTATGTTTTTAGGTTTTGTATTTATTTCACAATCTTTAAATTACTTTCACATTTGATATAAAGGCTGTATCTTAATTGGTTGACCAAACCTTACCAACAAAACTCTAAAAAAGGTTCATAAACATGTGTCTAAAACTAGTTTCTGAAAAAGTTTCGCTTGAATTTCAAAATTAATAGATGCTATTAATTGGCTTGTTATATTGCTAAATTGTTATTAACTTCAAAAAATAGTTGTATAATTATGTTTTTAGGTTATGTATTTATTTCACAATCTCTAAATTATTTTCACATTTGATATAAAGGCTGTATCTGAATTGGTTGACCAAACCTTACCAACAAAACTGTAAAAAAGGTTCATAAACATATGTCTAAAACTAATTACTGAAAAAGTTTCGCTTAAATTTCAAAATTAATAGTTGCTATTAATTGGCTTGTTATATTGCTAAATTGTTATTAACTTCAAAAAATAGTTGTATAATTATGTTTTTAGGTTTTGTATTTATTTCACAATCTCTAAATTACTTTCACATTTGATATAAAGGCTGTACCTGAATTGGTTGACCAAACCTTACCAACAAAACTGTAAAAAAGGTTCATAAACATGTGTCTAAAACTGCTTTCTGAAAAAGTTTCGCTTGAATTTCAAAATTAATAGATGCTATTAATTGGCTTATTATATTGCTAAATTCTTATTAACTTCAAAAAATAGTTGTATAATTATGTTTTTAGGTTTTGTATTTATTTCACAATCTCTAAATTACTTTCACATTTGATATAAAGGCTGTACCTGAATTGGTTGACCAAACCTTACCAACAAAACTGTAAAAAAGGTTCATAAACATGTGTCTAAAACTGCTTTCTGAAAAAGTTTCGCTTGAATTTCAAAATTAATAGATGCTATTAATTGGCTTATTATATTGCTAAATTCTTATTAACTTCAAAAAATAGTTGTATAATTATGTTTTTAGGTTTTGTATTTATTTCACAATCTTTAAATTATTTTCACATTTAATATAAAGGCTGTATCTGAATTGGTTGACCAAACCTTACCAACAAAACTGTAAAAAAGGTTCATAAACATGTGTCTAAAACTACTTTCTGAAAAAGTTTCGCTCGAATTTCAAAGTTGATAGCTGCTATTAATTGGTTTGTTATTTTAACCGTTTATCCCAGTTAGTCATGTGCGTTGTTGTCGAATTAGATATTATCTTTTTGTTTCTTAACAATCAATTGTCAGACAAAAACAGTGTTATATTTTGAAAACTACCCAACCCAACCCAACCCACCGAAACACAGTAGAGCTCAGATTATCCGTGGATGACGTGAAATATTTTTTCTTTTACATTTTAAGTTCGATTTGATTTTTGCTCCTTCCCTTCTTGGCGTGCCAGTGACCTTGCACATTATTTATCGCCTTTTGTAAAGGCGATTTACTTATTTTTCCGTAATTTTTATTACATTGTACAGGATGTCCAAATTTCGATGGGTTCGCATGGTATCTCAGTTATTATGAATAACTTATGATAGAAAGTTGCGGCTTTTGCGAACCTGAGCTACTTTTTTGTGAAACTTACAATGGCGCAAACCAAATTTTCATAGCCCTCTTCGTTTTTGATATACAGGGAATGTTTCAAAATTTACGATTTTCAAACACCCCTGTATCTCGGCTACCCGGAAACGTAAAAACGGGTTCTAATAGATTTTTTCACGTAGAACCCAATGGTGCACGTAGAATTTTTCTAGTCATCACGGTTTTTGAGTTATAAAGAGTTAAGTATTTTAGAAGTTGAGTATTCAGTTGTGTTTATAACTCAAAAACCGTAATGACTAGAAAAATTCTACGTGCACCATTGGGTTTCACGTGAAAAAAATCTATCAGAACCCGTTTTTACTTTTTTACTAAGTTTCCGGATAGCCGAGATACAGGAGGTGTCTGAAAATCGTAAATTTCAAACACTCCCTGTATATCAAAAACGAAGAGTTTGCCATTGTAAGTTTCACAAAAAAGTAGCTCAGGTTCACGAAAGCCGCAACTTTCTATCTTTCAAAATAACTGAGATACCCTGCAAACTCATCGAAATTTGGACACCCTGTACATGTTAATTTTCTATTTTGTTTTACACTAATGTGTTTATTTGTGTTAAAAACGCGTTTAGAGTTGTGTGAATTGCGCTTTCAGTGTCGGGCAGTGCTTCTGGGATGAAGACACGGAAAACAATGAAGAAATTGACCTACAAGTGAATTTGACTCGACATTAGTAGAGTGGCTAGCTCAGGAGGGAAGTGAGGGCTCCCCCGTGTCCGGCCCTGTCATTGTAGCTAAATTTTGTTTAGTTAGGATTGGAAGGAAATTTTAATGCATCGTCCGGTTGATGACATCGTTTTAAGAAACGTCATGGAATTAGAGAGATTGATCTCCATGGACAGAAGCTGAGTGATGATCAACAAGCACCTGATGATTTTCAACAAGATTTTGAAGAGTTTGTGTTGTTTGAAGACCTGCCATATGAGAAAATTCTCTCCGAATATCGAAATAAATGTGAACCGAAACATTTTTGAAGAAGAGAATGAAGTCATACCTATCGCTACACTTATTGACGTAGTGAAATCCGTTCTGGGAGGTGAGAATGTAGATCAAGAATACATAGAAGAGTGGCTGGAATGCGACAAAAATGAGCCGGGGTTTGAACGACTGGCTGATGTAGAAATAACGAACAGAGCAATGGGAGTGAACGAGAACGAACAAGATGAACAAATTGACAGTGAAGAAGACGAGGTGCCTGCGCAGATGAAACTACTTTGCAACACCTACAACTACTGCACAACTGGCAGAAAAACTTATGTTAAGGCACGTACAATCTAGAATAAAGAAAAGGTGTTTCCAAAGCAAGAAGCAAAAACTAGTGACCGATTTTTTTAAAAAGATGTAACTGAACACTTTTTGTCTACCATGCAGTGGTGTATGTATTATTTTTTGTTACTGTTCTTTATTTTAGTTTTTATACAGAAATATTTTTTTCGTGTTTACACCTTATTTTTAGTGTTTTTCGGGATATCCGCTGCACCCTTGCCACCCAATTTCGCGGATAATCGGGGTGCACTGTATTAGTAAGTCACGAATAACTCTCAAGAATGGTAGTACAAATTTCAAATATTTTTGATGATTTATTTCACTTAGAGGAGTAAAATGAAAAGTGGGTGTCTTGGATCGACAACTGTACGCGAAAGAACATTTTATTCACAGTTGACAGCAAAAACTATATTTGGACAGTTCGCAAGATTGTAGTTTTGTGTAGATAACTGCTGTTATACAAGACTTTTAATCGTGTTTGTCCCCGTTTGGAAAATCGAAGTGGGTAGAAAGTCGACGGAACTTTCAAACGAACAAACAAAACTAATAAAATTTCATATAGAATGAAAATATTTGTGTGAAATCATAACAAGAATGAAGTGCAGCACTTTTACTACACAGTACGTGGGGCGAAATTATAAAAAGACAGGTGAAGTTAATAAAGCACTACAAAATGTAAATCATCAAAGCTAACAAGAAGTAATTATTCATTCTTACTATAAGTGGTGTAGCACTGGCTACAACAGTCTGGAACCGGTGTTTTGTGTTGGTGTTACCTTTTAACGGCGTGAAATTATATTAAAAAGTTGGTTTTAAAAGTCGGTGTGCTGTTAGAAAATTATTCATAAGTAAGATTAATAAACAAAGACAGTTAGCCTTTGCAAAAAATGCCAAAATGAAGATTTTAACTTCTGGAAAATGGTAATTTTTACAGATGAGTTTAAACTCAATATAATAATATCGACTGGATGAGTAACAATTTCGCGAAAAGAAGCAAGAACCTATATCCACATAATCTGATATACAGGCTGTCCGGTATCTTCCGCATCAGAGCATTATACGGTTGTAGGATACATTATTCTGAAGCGATCTTTCTAATAAAATTTTTTCGAAATGTTTATAATAACCGCACGGGAGCTGTTTAAACGAACTGTTTCTCATGCAATCAGTAGATCGCAAATCAGACTCAGGTAATCGGTGCCACCCTGGGCCGGTCCGCTACGCCGATGGTAACTTGTTTCCCACGTGTACTCACCAATAGATTCGTCATGGAAAGAGAAATAAACTTTTTCGATGAATCAAAGTCGTCCGTTATTGGTTGTTGTTAAACAGTTCCCGTGCGGTTATTATAAACATTTCGAAAAAAATTTATTAGAAAGATCGCTTCAGAATAATGTATCCTACAACCGTATAATGGTCTGATGTGGAAGATACAGGAGACGCTGTATTGATGTTTATCATCAATTTGAGTCCGGTAAGAGCTATAACATCACAAGGCTGGTAAGTGTTGCTTCGTAACACCATTGTTCCAATAGAAGGACAGTAGGATCTAACAGGACTGCTACATCTATTGTTGTGACAACGTGCCCGCACACTACGTCACACCATATGCCACGCCCAGTCAGCTGTTATTGTCTTCTATGCGTTTACTGTGTATTTTTAGAGGTTATATCGTATATCGTATTCATATTAATTTCA